CACATTCAAAAAACGAGTCTCGCTCTCACACATACATAAAACGAATCTTAGTACCGTGTGTGTGTTCAACTTTAGTCTTGTGTATGTGAGAGATAAACGTTTGTGAATGTGCGAGCTGGTAGTAGTGAATGTGCGCGAGCTGGTAGCAGTGTATGTGAGCGAGATGGTAGCAGTGTATGTGAGCGAGATGGTAGTAGTGTATGTGAGAGTGAGTTTGTGGTAGTGTGTGAGAGACAAGACGTAATTTTTTGGAGTGTGCGTGGCTATTTTTTTTGAGTATGCGTGAGTTTGTGGTAGTGTGTGAGAGACAAAACGTAAATTTTGTCCTAAACGGCCCCTCATAGTCTGGTCATGTGACCATTCACACACAATACATGAAATGGATATTACTTAGAGAAGACACCCTATTATTAAAATTTTAACTTCAATTAGTTGCCAAAAGCCAAACGACTACTTTTAGAGATTTAAGAAGTTAGAAAAAATGTCTGGTGACAATGTCCGGTGGTGCAACAGCGACAATGACTGCAGAGACTGGTCAGATGAAGCCAACGGCAGAAGTTGGCAAATGACCACAAACTACTGCAATATATAGTAACTACTGGATAAGTGATTCAAAATGTAGAATGTTTATAAAGTTGCATCTAGAAAATTCAATAGACATGAACCCATAATCCAGCCTGTGACACAGAGGAGGCTCCACTTTCAGGATGGCATCTGTGAGAAAGTTGTTTAACCTGCTTCTTGCATTTACTTCTTTTTTTGTTTGTCCCTATGGGCCGCCAAACGTGTGGACCGAGCAACTTCCAGTGTCGCACAGGTCACTGTATACCCCTGCTGTGGAAGTGTGACGGTGAAGATGACTGTCAGGACAGCTCGGATGAAGATCCTCGCTATTGTAGTGAGTTGAAACTGCTCCCCGGTGTGTTGCTTCAGGAGGAAGAAGTCGTGAAAAAGTGCTTATCAGATATTAGAGCAGGGTGGAGCTCTGCAGCTGAATTTCTGCCACTGATTTACAAGTAACGTGCAAACTGACATACACAAACTGATTTTATGTGTCATTTACGTGATTAAAAAAACCGTAGAAAGAATATTTCAAAGCATGTTTCAGTTGTTCAACTTTGCTTCTTAAAGTTTAACATTTTCAAAATCAAAGGCTTTTGAACAGTTACGAAAGAAAATGCAAACCGAAATTTGCAGTTTTGACACATCCATTTCCAATAACCGTATCTTCAACATTATTGTTTCTGATATGCATTCTTCTTTTCCCTCATTTTCAGAAGCATCAGATTCTTCCTGCTTTCACATGGACCAGGATAAATATAAAGTTATTGAAGGCGAAGCATTTTATTATGTGCCCTTCGACATGAATGACCCCAACATACCTGATGAAAATATTACGTGGTACAGAAATGTGGCTGAGATTAAGTATATTACTGAGCTTGTGAATATCACCAAGATTGTGAATATTACTGAGCTTGTGAATATTACTGAGCTTGTGAATATTACTGAGCTTGTGAATATTACTGAGCTTGTGAATATCACCAAGATTGTGAATATTACTGAGCTTGTGAATATTACTGAGCTTGTGAAAATCACCAAGATTATGAAAATCACCACAGACGAGACACACAGGATATATTACCATGGAGGAACGCTGTTATTCTTAAACATCAGCGCTGATGATGCTGGTTATTATTTTGCCAGGTAAGAATATTTGTTATGTTTGCTAGTATATTGAAAAATGTGTGCTACATGAGTTTTAAATATGAGGAAATTAATGGATTTTGTTAAACATTAAGTCTATACGGGAATTTTTCTGCCATAATTCGGTACCACACATTTTAATTTTGAAAGCAGAACTTCATGTCTTTCGTCTCAAAACCTGCAATGCTTGTACTCAAAACTTCTGCAAATATTCACTGTGGTTTCTCAAACCTTCCTCCTCACACTCAAAACCTGTCTCTGCTTTTATCAAACCTCCACTTGCAAACATCTCTGCTCGCTTGCGTAACATTTTCTGCTCAAGCGTGAAACAAAAAAGTACTGTCGCCTGGGTGCGTTTGTTTCCTTCTAGTTTGTGTGCCTGTGTGGCTACTATTGAGACAGACAGACAGACAGACAGACAGACAGTCAGTCAGTCAGTTAATCCGTTTGGGATTTTACCCTCAGGGAAACTGTAGTTCCCGTCTTCCTCGCAACACCAACATATCAAACAATACATCAATTACAGTTTTTACAATAATGCTTTCCATCCAAAACAAAAAAGAGTGACATAAAGTGACATTGCAATGCGTTCGTCTGCTGATAGACTGATAAAAAAAGAAAAAAACAACTCAAGCGAAAAATGTTCTTCCTCCTCTGCCTCAAAGGAGAAAGTGATGGTTTTAGTGCAGAAACATCCAGTTTCAGAGATTGTATTATCTGTTAAAGTAACGTTATATTAGTCGACCACAAAGTGAAATATTTTGCTGTCATAATGATTTTATGGTCTAACGCTGTTAGAGTCCACAAGCTGATCATGGCTGACAGATTAGTGAGGTGTGTTAAGCCACCAGAGAATCTGGTGTTCTTGTGAGTGAGGGGACGGTGCACCAGCCAGCCGACTGGGAGTCAGCAAACAACCACATAAATATCTGGTTGCTACGGGATACTCTCTGGGTTTTTATCTTATGTAAAGAAAAATGTTATTAGTTTGAAACCAAAGCTTTTATAAAGAGTTAATATACCTTGGTACTGACTATTGGCCTGTGGATAGGTAGTGTGCTGCAGTGTATTCTGCACGTTTCCTCTTAAATTATCAGTTTTTAGTCACAGCAACAGATCTGAGGACATTCATGACCTTTAGAAGATTTATTAATGTAGCTTTGTATTTTAACTCTGTTGTATTTCTAGGCTACAAGATCCTTTTTCGTCTTTGATGTTTGAGATCAGCTAATCTGTGAATGTTTCTTTCTCCACAGGCACATTGAGCCATCAGGTGAATGTTTCTACTATCATCTGAAGATCGAGGTCTTCAGTGAAACAAGCCGAGAGAATCTGACCTATGGAGCTATCCGAAACTCTGCCCAGAACATAAACATTCCTTGTCCACAGCCTGTTAAAGACACATGCAAAACATTCAACGGGAACTTCACATGGTTCAAGGTAAGGGAATCTCTGATTACTTTATTTTGTGAAAACACATCGCAAAAGTGGTCGGTTTCTAAGACATTAAAAGATTTAATTATTTTCCATCATTTCTAACGTCTGTCTTGTTTTTATTGCAGGGAAAGAATCTGATTCCTGGTAAACACAGAGAAAGCCTGTGGGTAAATAATGCAACAAAAGACGATGAGGACATCTACACCTGCATATGTACCTGGACTCACAACCACAAGCTGTACAACTCTTCTGGATTCAGGAGACTTTTTGTTTTGAGTGAGTCCTTTTAGACTGTTGGCTGTTCAGATGCAGACAGGCATGTGCTTTGTCCTAATAATTATAAAGTGAAGTGAAAAAGTATTTGCTCCCTCCACTGATTTATTCTGTTTTTGCTTCTTTGTCACATTTGTTTCATCAAACTGGTATTAGATTCTCACTTTAGTTGATTTCAGTTCATATGTATAGTTTTTGTTCTTAATGCAACGCTCTGCAGTGCCTAACGAAGCACAACACAGTGAAAACGTTTCAACTCTGCTCCCTTGTAGAAAGAGCCATCTTTCGAAATGCAACAATTCTCTCTCCAACCAGCAAGGAGCAGTTGGCTGATGAAGGTAAGAAAACAGCTTAAAACATTAGAAAGGCTATAAATCCCTCCCTTAAAGTTCATATCCTGACTCCTGGTGAGTTCTGGTCTGATGCTTTGCTTTAAACCGTAATGGGGCATAATTATGTTGTAACTTTATTTCCTAAAATCACAGGCAAGCTGTGAAAATTCACTGATTAAATAAATACTTAGGATGGATTTTCTCATTTCTTGTGTTGCCAACAGAAGTTTATTTTGTGCCGCCATGTTCAAATAGTCATTATCCATCTAGTAGCACAGATTAGCAAAATTACAAAATAATAAAAATGAACACAATTTTGTAGGCACCAAACATGCAACATTTAATGGCGTCTGGTATTTTTTTTCCCCACACAACTTTAGTTTTAGTGTAGCTGTTGCTTCAGGTGAATATTTTATTGAATTAAATAGCATTCATAAAACAATATGATACCTTTAACCTTTTATCATCTGAAGTTATGGACACATTTTTTAGAGATATATTTGTATTATTTCTACACTTTTGCTTTGTTTTAAAAATATTTTGTTTGTATATAAGTTTGTTTATTCTTTTATTACACCATGTACAATAAAGTCAAACTCAAATGTTTTTACTGATTAAAGTTTCAGTAGAAATGAAACATTGTTATAAAACACACACACATCCATCCATTTTCTAACACCTTTGTCCCTTAGTGGGGTCAGGAGGTCTGCTGGTGTCCATCTCCAGCAAACGTTTCAGGCGAGAGGCGGGGTCACCTTGGACAGGTCGCCAGTCTGTCGCAGGGCAACAAAGAGACACACAGGACAAACAACCATGCACACACACTCACACCTAGAGAGAATTTAGAGAGACCACTTAACTTTTTGGACTGTGGGAGGAAGCCGGAGTACCCAGAGAGAACCCATGCATGCACAGGGAGAACATGCAAAGACCTCGGGCTGGGAATCGAACCCACGACCTTCTTTCTGCAAGGCAACAGTGCTCTCTCTCACACACACACACACACACACACACACACACACACACACACACACACCGTGAATGGAAACTATATGTTAATGTAACAAACCATCATGTGTTCAACAGGCTCCAGCGTCAAGCTGAACTGCACTGTTTACTGTGGGATTAATGCAGAACGGGATTGTAAGGCCACATGGTGGGTTAATGGAAACCCAGCGAAGCAGATGGATGGATACAACGAGACCAGCACATTGTAAATCTGAACATCATTATGTTAACTATGCTGAGGTTAATTTAGATGAAAATTCTGAATTTAAACTTTTCCTGAGGGGAACCAGTGTACCATTAGAGTATTTTATAATAATGTATTAGAAAAATGGAGGAAAGTTAATTAAATATCCATTAAGGAAACTGACATTTAAATTGATGTCCTAGTAATTAAATCAATACTCAGTAAGCATTTATACACCACTGATGTTTGTACAACTTTTAATGAAGCATAATTTTATTCCTTAGAGACATTGAGGTTCCTTCAAAGAGAACCTTCTCCACAGCAGTCCTGACCATCCAAAGGGTTTCAGCAAAAGATTTCCAGAAGGAGTTTATGTGTCGCGGCTCAGGATTTTATTCAGGAAACTCTGTAACTTTAACTCTGAAGCAAAGAGGTTAGTGTTGGTGTTCCCCTAAACTTTTCAACTTCTGGCCTAAGGTATCAGGGCTGCAGAAAATGAATGATCCTTAATGTTTGTGGTGATACTGAGCTATCACTAACACACCAATAAAACATGAATATAAAAGCCATTTATGCAGAATCAGCAATTAGCTTGCTGTCATATCCATGGCGGTTTGAGTTGGTTTTTGTTTGATTTTTTATTTTTTTGCTAACAACTGAACAAAAATTAGTTCAGTTTAATATTTTTTTTGTTCTGCTTCCTGTAGTCAAGTTCAATGCTCTTAATACACTGCAGTGACTATATTTTTCAATTTAATTTTAAAAATGTGTTTATTTACATGGGGTAATAAATAAAATATGAGAAAAGGTTGGATATGTACGTTTACGGAGCACATTCTCATTGCTCACTGTTTTACTGTTGTTTGAGCCTCTGATTCTCCACCATTGCCTGCTGGATTCCTCAGTTCCATGAATGTTTCATGTTTGTCCGTATGCCACACATAGATGTAATTTCTGTTTTTCTTTCTTCATTGACCGTGTGTTTGTTTGTGTGTGTGTGTGTGTGTGTGTGTGTGTGTGTGCGCGCGCGTGTGTGTGTTTGTTTATAATATCTTGTGGGGACCATTTTCCTGACACATACTACGTTGTGGTGACCCACCGCTCCTTGTGGGGACCGAAGCCTGGTCCCCACAGGGGAGACGTTGTTTTTGGGTCAGGGATCAAATTTAGGACTAAGGTGTGAATTAAGTTTTGGTTAGGGTTAGGTTAAGGGTAAGGTTTAGGCCAGTGGTGCCCAAAGTCGGTCCTCAAGGGCCGGCATCCTCCATGTTTTAGTTCTCTCCCTGGTTTAACACACCTGCATCAAATGATGGCTCATTAGAAGGCCTAAGAAGAACATTGACAAGCTGAAAAGGTTGTTACTACCATCAGGGAGAAAACTAAAACATGCAGGATGCCGGTCCTTGAGGACCAACTTTGGACACCCCTGGTTTAGGCTGTAGCAATGAATGGAAGTCAATGGAAGGTCCCCACAAAGATAGGCACACAAATGTGTGTGTTTGTGTTTTTTGTTTTGTATTTTAAATCTTACCACTTTACTGTCTGTCCGTGCTTTGGTTCTGCTAAACCAAACTATGCACATGCTATTTTCTTTTACATTTTTATCAATGACTTGGATATCATTTACATTTGTTAGAAAAGCACTTAAACAAAAAAGTTTTAAGGTTTTGACATTATTTTTTTTTTTTGATTGAATAATTGTGAAAAATATTTAACTTCATACGGGCGGCATCGCCAGAGGACCTGCGGTCGCCAGGAGGCCAGAGCGGCGCTGAGCTGAGGGCCGTTCCAGGCTGCATGCAGCTTTAATTGTTGTTGTTTTTCTGGTTTTGTCATGAAACTCACTGAAGCCTTATTTATGCTTGTCTTCCAGAGTCCATCATTCCCTTCAGTATATTTAGAGGGTGTGTGTTTGTGATTGTTGTGATCGTCGCTGTACTGGTGAAATATTTTGCCATTGACCTCGCTCTGTTGTTCAGGACCTGCTTCCCTTCAGAAAGATGCAATGAAGGTACGATAAATTCAAGGTTTTCTTTGAAAAGATGAAATCAGGAGGTTGATATCAATCAAAGGAGATTACTCCAAACAAATGAGCTCAATTTAAGCTATGCAGCAGTGCTTTAACCAATCAGGAGAATGAATTGTTTTGACTCTATGGTTTGACACTTAAGTCAGCTCTCATCAAGAAACTTTCTTCACCTCATCACATACACTGTGTGTGTGCAGGCACCTTATTTTGACTTTTTTGGTAAAAATGCATTCATTTCAGCTTTTCTGATATTAAAGTAAGTCTGCTATACTTTAAGCAGTGTTTAGAGATCAATGCTGAGTCAACCATTTGCTCCACAGAGCCATAAACTGCTGTATTATTATTATTTTATTTTTTGGCAGAAGGGCATTTTCCTCAAACAGTAATCATCGCTCCACTTTATCATCTCTGGCTGGATATTAATGTTCATACAACAAATACTATTTTTTTCACTAGCCTTTGTTGTACCAGAGAGAAACTGCTGAGGGCAAACTTTAGACATTTTCCTGGTTTAGTTGGACATTAAATAACGAATGAAGAATCTGATGTAAAAATCCTACAATAGAAGAACCACTCACTGAAAAATGTAAGATTCATTGTATGTAAGCCTAAAAAACAGTACCAAATCGTTGTTTTTTGAATATACATACTCGTAGATGAAAAATCGATACTTTAAAATATCAATAAATGTCGTGCAATCGATAAAATTACACAGACCTAATACATGCACTAAATTTGAATATTATTGGAAAGTTAATTTGCTTCCATAACTTAATTCACTTAGTGAAACTCATTAGATTAATGATACATGCTGAGGTTTTGAATGTGTTATTTCTTCTAATCATAATTATTTTACAATGAAAACACGACATTTAAGACATTAATATAGTAAACCAATGAAAAACTACATCTTTATTATAATATGAGGGCTTGGTGAGAAATATGTTTAAAGATTATTTAATCTGATCAGTGAGCTTATCATGTATATGCAGTGTAAATTCTTAAGTTTTATTATAAAAATTGCATTTTTCGGGGGGCGGGGGGTTAATGGTGCATTAGGATTATTGTAGGCAGGCCTAAAACTAGATGATACAACAAACAACTTTAATACATCTTAAAAGCAAAAATTTGGTGCACAAGTTTAAATTTACTGTTCTTTATTTTTTTGTTTTTTTTTAACTATTATTTTTACAGCTGCAAATATGTATTCATAAACCTGCTTCTGACAGAAAAACAAAAAATGTCATTTCATTTTTATTGGTCCCTCATTACTCTTCACCAATAGTCTGAAAATAAAACAATCTGATAGTCAGAATCTTTAAACAACACGTGATTTAAGTTAGCAGAGCTAGTCACTTCCTGCTGAATGTGAATCTTAAAGATCTTGTTTGTGTGACCCAGATATGAAGATGTACGATGCCTACGTTGTTTACCAGCCACAGAGCGTAGACATGGAAATAGAAAACCAACCGTTCAACTTTGTCACTGAGACTCTGCCCTCGGTTCTTGAAGACAAGTGTGGATATCGACTCTTCATCCAGGGAAGAGACAACATGCCGGGGGAAGGTCAGTCATTTAGTGCATTTCATCAGTGGATGAAATGCACTTGAACTAATAAGTATTTTTCTGGTCCATCAGATCGCGTGGAGCTGGTGGAGAGCTGCATTAAGCAGAGCAGGAGGCTGATGGTCATCCTGACACCAGGATCAGGACCTGAGATGATGGAAAATCCCACCTCAGACCAAACCTCAGCCATTGGGTTTGACTGGCAGGTAAAAGAGTCTGGGGGTCAAAGGGCATGGAGTGGGATTAATCCAGTTCATATTCTTCTTGTTTTAATTAAATCTACATGTTTACAATGCTAATGGGAAGGCAGCAGATCACATTGAAGCACAATTTCTTTATATTAAAAACATATCAGTTGTGTTATTTAGAGAATTCAAAGTATCAGTGAGAAAGTAGTGTGAAGTAGTGACAGTGGCTTCTGATCTGATTGATTCTGCTTCCAGCACTCCTTAAATAATAATAATAATTTTTTAAAATCTGAATGTGATTCATATATTTCCAGGTCGGGCTTCACCACGCGCTGCTGCAGAGGGATATGGGCGTGATTCTGATTCAGCTCGGAGAGATGGGGCCGCAGGATTATGCACACCTTCCTCCAGGCCTGCAGCACCTGATCCGTCAGAGCGCCCCCATCAGGTGGCCGAAGGGCTCACGGGCAGCCTCCAAATATAACTCGCCCTTCTGGAAGAGAGTGCGATACCTGATGCCAGTCCGACCCGCCAGAAAACGAGATTCATCTGCCATCATCTAAAACCGCTGAGCTTTGAAATGTGAACATGGAAAATTAAACTGAAATCATGGACAGATTCTCTACAATGAATAAAGATGAAGGACTTTATTAGGCAGGGCTGTGCAGAGACCACTAAAGGGGCAGGTGCTCAAAAAAAAAAAAAAAAAAAAAGGGCACCTCTTACCGCATTCTAGAAAAGAATGTTAACAAAGCCACACAGCCTTCAGAGCTTAATAAATAATGATAAATTATGAAATTATGAGACATACAATATAAGTTATGGAAAATCTCTATATAGAGCACATGTGTCAAACTCATGTGGCCCGCCATGCCATTTTATGTGGCCCTCCCAGCATTTTTATAGGCCGATGATCGACTTAAAATACGTTTTGAGCACGAATTGACTACAAACTACATCTCCCACAATGCATTCCGATTGTACAGGCAACATTACGGCTTCTCGCCACTAGAGAGCAGCAGAGTCACCTTAAGCTGCTTATTGATTTTCCCAGCAAATAAAACTGAGACATCGACAAGCTAACATCAAAACGTCCATGAAAAGAAAAATGGATTTACAAGTAAGACTGTGAATGAAGATGTGTGTGAGTTGGTGTCAGGGCGGCAGGTCGCGCTAGACTTTTTTTTTGTTATCCTTATCTTGACCGACAACATTAAAAAAATCGGTCATGTACTATTTTTATCCGTGAAATTACAATCATAACATCGGCTATTTAGCCGCATTTTATGCGGTTTAGTTAATATTCACCGTGAATCCACATCCCATCACAAATTAAGCAGATAAATGTATCTACATTTTTCTCCGTAGTGACAAAAACCACTGAATGAGGCCCCAATAACTTTTAATAAATTAAATTAAGTGACTTCACTTAAATTAGCATCACTTCACCCGCTGGGGTCTGAACAACTTCCTCCTGGTTCCCATCTGCAGAAAAATCTGCGCTAATTCATCACAGTCAGTTGGATCTGTCTGATCCAAACAGATCAACTGAACTCTGAGTGTTTTACCCTGTGCGGTCCGGTGTGAGCTTTTACCAGGATTTTTTATTTATTTATTTATTTATTTGCGTGGTTTCGCTTCTCCGAAACGGACAGATGTTACGTCTGCAGCTCCTCCAGAGCGCCGCTCTCCTGGGTAACGAGCACCAAGAAGGCTCCATTTGTTAAATCCGCTGGATGAGTTACTCCCAGCGGTTTTTAATTCTTCGCAGTGGCGTAACGTAACTGCCTCTGCAGTGGTTGAGCAGCAGACTGCGCATGTTACAA